TAACACAAATCAAAACCAACGTGTCATTTTAACTGCAGTAAACACATGGAAGTAAAAGTTGTCAACAACAAAGGAGCATTAGACACAACAGGAACAGGCTCTGATCATTTCAACTCTAGTTAAAATATGTCTATTCAACCTTGTAATGGGTCAATATTGAACAATATTTTAACTTCCTGAACTTGGACCTGAGTGTCGAGACATTTGGAGACATCTCTCGTCTCCTAACATCATGAACTGACACATTTTAATATTGCAGCAAGAAGTTCTTGTTCAAGTTCAGAAGAAGTTGGTTTTCAAAGTTTTTTTTAAGTCCAGTCTGGTTCTTTTGGGAGATAAAATCTGTCCTGATGTACTAAATAGTCTTTCAATAAGGCCATGGGTGGCATGTATCTTATGGCTGACTCAGCGGTAGAATCCATTTTGGGTGTGTTAGTGGTGCTGTGGGTGCACCCAGCTCAATGACGTACAGTATATCAGAGTCAGAGACAGTATATACTAGAGTATACGTCATTGGCCCAGCTCTTCTTGAAGGTGGGTCTAACGTTACCCACCCACTTTGCAGTGATTCAATGGACCAACTCTCCTCTCGCCATAAACTAACGAACAAATCAAAACACTGCAAATCTGCATCTCCAGTCTAACTGAAGTTATTGAAGTTCCATGATTTGGTAGATTATGGTATTTTATCAGTTATGTATAGGGCTCAAAATAACACATTACCATTAAATATCCAGAGAAATGTTGTTAAAAGACAAAGTTGTTATAATCTTAAGGAGATAGAGATATTTGTCAAACCAACATTCAGAACTAGTCTGAAGGGAAGGTCTACCTCAATCCAAGGAGTTGGATTGTGGAATGTTCTAGAGAGTGATGTGAAAAATGCCAAGTCAATGTGTACATTTAAGAAAAAGATCAAAGATGGATTGTAAAAAAAAAAAAAAAAATGAAGTAGCTTAGTGTGTTTTTTGTATTAGAATTAGAAAAATTAGAAAGTTATTCATTTTGTTCTGTTACTTGAAGATTATTACGATTGAAATAATTTGTTTGAAAAAAGGGGCAGATATAATAAGATTTTTTCTTCTTTCTGCTGCCTTTCATTTTAAATTTCTTGTATTTTTTTAAGTTTATGGAATTGTTTTGTTTTGTTTTTTAAAATGAATAAACTTTATACCATACCATACCAAATCTTTGATACTGACACAAAATGTTTTGTCAGAGAGGTAGGACCTAAACCATTTAAGGGCTGACCCTGTGATGCCCACCCACTGCTCTAGTCTAGAAATGAGGATCCCATGGTTGATGGTGTCGAAAGCAGATGTAAGGTCCAATAGGACAAGCAGCACAGAATCACCTGCATTAGTGGCTAGGAAAATGTCGTTAAAAACCCTCAGTAGAGCAGTTTCAGTGCTGTGGAGAGATTTGAAGTCAGACTGGAATAACCCAAGGATATTGTGATCCTCCAAGAAGCACTTCATCTGAGACTCAGCTATTTTTTTTCCACTAGCTTAGAGGCGAATGGGAGTCTGGAGACAGGGCGGAAGTTGGACATGACTGAGGGGTTGAGGTTGTTTTTTTCAGGAGAGGCTGGACAGCAGCATGTTTAAAAGTTTTTGGTGCCACACCTGAGGATAAACTGCTATTCACAATAGCAAGAATAGAGGGACCCAGAGTAGGAAAAACCTCCTTTAGTAGTCGAGGGGGGACCACATAAAGGGGGAACCAGATGGCTTCATGTTGCACATTACCTGCTCCAGAGAGGACAGAGAGATGGGCTCAAAGTGGTCAAATACAGCTGCACATTGAAATGGAATGGAAGGATCGTGAGCTGGTGGAGAAATGAGTGCCCGAGTGTTCACAACTTTTTCTAAGAAAAAATGGGGGAGGTTCTCACACAG